CTCCAGTCTATTGAAAACTCTTATTGGCTTCATCAAAAATATATCCCAAATCCAATCATGTATCGCATACTACCTTTTGCCCTTCTGGCCCCAGTTCCTGCTATCACTGTCTTCCACACAGTCTCCTACACTCTGTCCTTTCTCTACCCCAATGATAGTCTATTCCTATCACAGCAACTAAAATGGCTGTGCAGTCTTCCACTCAGATCTCCACAGGGGCATCTAATTTCAGAATAAAAGCCCAAGCTTTCAAAATAACCTAAAAGGCCCTATGTGATCTGACCTCCCATCAGCCATCTCTCTGATTTTAACTCTTATTATTTCTGCACTCAGAGCATTCAGGAAATACTGGCCTCTTTTCTGTCCCCTGAGCACTCCAGGATTGCTTCATTCTTGAGATTTTTGATCAGCCAGCAACTTTTTCTCAAAATGTGCTGTCCACCGTAGATCCACTTCTCAAATCCCACACCTCTGAGATCTTGCTCAGACGTTCCCATCTCTCTCAAGCTCACCCTAAATAGTATGCTTCCCGTATATAAACCAGATACTACCTACTCTGGCCAAGTTTTTAGGGTGAGCTTAGCACTTTGAACAATCTATATTCATACTTTTAATTTTGATTATTTATTTATGTTTTGCCTCCTATCACTAGACAATAAGTCCTAAGACTTTTGAGGGTTTTTTTTTTTAACTGAAAGTTCAGCCTCAGATATAGGAAAGAAGAGCCCTCCCTGGGTGCTTTCAAAGTAAAGAATTTTGGAATTCTTACTCACACCCACAACCTTTATCCTAGACTGTGCTAGATACCAAAGGATCCCAGAATTCCCTGACCAATCAACCTCTGTAGACTTCCTGTCCGAGTCCACTAACCTGAAGAGTCAGAATGCATATCAATGATATGGGGTTGATGAGATAGCTCAGTGGTCTAAAGCACCTGCTTAGAACAAGCTTAGCAAAGCACAGGAACCGCGGTTCAATCCCCCAGCACCATATGCCAGCCAGCCCCGCCCCCTGGTGGGCTGAGCTGGCCACACACACACACACACAAATAAATAAATTTTTTTAAAAAAGAATACATATCAATGATAGCAATGAGAGAACCCGGGGGTTACCAAGGGAAGACTTCCTGTCAGGTATATGAATGAATGTAGCTTGAATGTGCTTGTTGAATGTCCACACATATGTGTGAGCCTCCAAGGTGTGAAAGGAAGTGAGCAGTGGGAGGAAAAATCAGAGAAGGAGTGTGTATGTGGCCAGCCCCTTCCATTCTACCATGTCCACAGTCTAAGAATTCTAAACTAAAATCCATTCTTCCAGGAACTTATAAAGGGAATACCTATTTCTCATAAAAGTAAGATAAAATATTGCATTTAACAGCTCATCAGTTTTGTCTGTAGCATCTAGGTTTCGGCAAATGGGTACATGAACATTATGAGTTGAATCCCCCCAATTCCCAGGCTGAAGTCTTGACCCTAAGTACCTCAGAATGTGACTTTATGTTGAATTAGGGGTACAGCAGGTACAGTTAAAATGAAGTTGCTGGAGTAAGGTGAGCCCCTAATTCAATATGAGTGATGTCCTTCTAAAAAAGGGCAGTTTGGACACACATATGCACAAGAGGAGCCTGCCATGCCAATATGTAGAAAGAGGCAGAGTGATGGCTCTATGAGCCTCAGAATGCCCAAGATTGCCAACCAACTAGTGGAAAGTAGAAGAGAAGCTCGGAACTGGAGGAGATTATCCTGGCGATACTTCGATCTCAGCCTCCAAAACTAGGAGAAACATATTTTTATGTTAAGCCCAGTGGCTTGTGATACTTTTATACAGCAGCTCTAGCTGACTAACACATTGAGTTACTATCTTCTGCTTTTCCAGCCCCACTAATACCTAGAATATTGTGCATGTACACCTGTGCATTTGTACATGTGTGCATATGTGTAAGTGTGTAATGTGTGTGCACTAATGCCTAAGCAAGTGATTGAATGACACACAAGTGACAAAAAAACCCCAAAGTGTTTCTAATATCAACTGACATTCATACAACGTTTTAAAGTTCCTTTAGTTTTATAGCTTTATTTGCTCCCTACAAGAAATCTAATGAGGCCAAGAAAGGAAGAACTACTGTGTCTCTTGTCAGTAACATTTAAAATTTGCTTAGCAACACGATTTTTCTATTCAAATGAAATATGACAGAGAAAGTTTAGATTAAGTGGATATATGAAGAGTGGACACATGACCACTCCCTTAGTCCCCTACACTTCAGAAAGACCTCTGAAAACTTGTACAGAAAACTAAGACATTAAAAATCACAAACTAGGGGGCCGGGGAGATGGCTCAGGAGAATAAGCACTTGCCTGGCAAGCACAAGGGTCTGAGTTCAATCCCTGGTTCCACCAAAATAATAATAATAATAATAATAATAATAATAAT